CAAGGTGTTGAAACCCCAATAGATTTTTCGGCTTGCTTGTTTCTGGAGGATTGGTCTGGACATACTATAGATGACATAGAAATGACTTTGACATCAAAGTACTTTTGAATTATTTAGGCCTCTGTAGATTTGTAGAAAATACTTTTATAATGTCTCTCAACCTCAGTAGATTTCCTATTTGTATTGGTTTCAAGAGACCACTGAGTGCTTATATAAATCTAAGATAAAGGGAGTCAGTGTTTCCATGGGGAAAAATTAAGAAACCAAGTCACACCTCTTAATACTTTAAATGTGCCAGCTCTTTATGAAAAGCCCTCCAGGATGAGAAAAAAATAAAACCTTCTAAATAGCAGGACACCATGTTTGCAGGGAGAATTGAGCTGTAAATTGCACTCTGTAATTTATGTTAATTCATTTAAAGAGATTGAAAAATTAGTCTTCAAAAGGATGAATCTTTAATGGCTTTTTACTTAAAAAAAAAAAAAAAAAAAAAGCTTCCAAGTGAAAAAAAATGAAGCTATTCAATAGAGTATTAAACCTTTTGGGCAAAAGGTAAATTTTACATTTTTATAAGAATAAAACAAAACATGTGAAAATAATCTTGGAAAAGAAACAGGGTTGTTAATACAAATTTAAACACTACTCCTGCTTTTCAAGTCTAAGCCCTTAACTCAAAAATTTTGGATGGGAAATGGGAACAATCCAACTTATGGCTTCGAGGCTCCTGCTGAGTTCCAAATTAAATATGAAAATCAAGCCAAATGATATGCAAATTAACATAAAGCTGAAAATTGGTAGTCACAAAGATTTTAAGAAACCTTCAGGACTAAGACTTCTAATCAAGGTTTAAAGAATCCCATTGCTCTGTAAAGCAAATATAAGGAAGCCCTCTGCCAAGTGTCCTTTGTGGGGCCGTGGCATCCTCCCTGGGTCTGTGAATTATGAGGCTTCCCTCTGCTGCTCTCATACAGGACACACCATCCAGCTTGTATTTTACTGGACACAGATTCAGCACAGTCTTGATTTGAGTTCTCTTGGGCAGCATTTTTCAACCGCTGTTCATGTTGCCTGGTGTGCCGTAGGTGCAGACAAGACAAGAATTTTATAATTTTTCACTATTTTGTTTACTTAATATTTCATAATAAAGTAATTATAAAATACTTTCTTTGTGTTTATTTGATTCCTATTCAAGAGAATTACTTTATATATAGTCAATATAGGCACAGAGTTAAATTTTTTAACATTTTCTAATGGTGGTGTGCCTCGTGATTTTTTTCATGAAACAAGTGTGCCTTTGCCCAAAAAAGGTTGAAAAACACTGCTCTTGGGAACCCACACGCTCCCTCATTTCCTCTCTAGAGTTCCCTCTTTCTAAAATACCTTGAACCTTGTTTAATTATGACAAGGTGTACTTACATCGCTGGCTTTGCTTTTCAACTTTTTTACTTTAGTCTCTTCAAGGGTGGTTTCCCACCTCTTCCCCAAGTCAAGGGAAACAGGCTACTGGCATGCCTGAGAGTTCCTTATCCACCTTAGAAGACTTGGGATGGAAGCGCTGGGTTTTCCGAGACGCCGGGGTGAAAATGTGCACCACGCCCCCTGGTGGTTGAGCTGATAGTGGCAGGCTAATGAGCAAACTCAGTTGCTGTTAACATCCTGGAGGAGCTCCTAAGGGTTGGAGCCCTCACTCTCCTTAATCAAATGCCCTAGACACTTTCCAGTCCCTACACAACGCTGCTCTGCGGGTGAGAACCCTTCTAGCTTCTCCTGCACACAAAAACTCAGGCAGTGTATCTCCGGAATGTTTCTCATGTTGCCGTTTCCTAAGGAAATAACTGGAACGATTTAGTTGTTTGAATTCTAAGAGAACAATGTTGGTGTCTGCTGAGTCAGTATCTTGTATTTTAATGAGCTCAGGCTCCCCTGCAGCTCAGGCCAAGGGTGTGTCTTCCAAGGAAGGAAGCAAGGAAGGGCCTTCACTTCCCAGCTCCCAGTGTGGACCAACTACTGACTCTGTTCCAGCAACTCATCCCCTCGCCCTTGTGGAGTGTCCTCTGAATGTTGGTTTTGTTTGACTGAAAGTCTTGCCAGAATCCTAAATTGTGGGCCCTTGATCTCCAGGGGTCTCCGAGAATCCTCGTGTTCAAGAGGAAGAAAGCCTTCTGGGTATGAACGTGCATTTTCTAGGGTCCCTTTCAGTTTTAGAATTTCTCTTAACAAGTGGAACGGAAGTCCTCAGGGCCAGAGTGGCGAGAACTGACGAGGTTTTGCAACTAGCTGCTGTTTGTGATTTGGAATTGGAGGAGGAAGGGAAAAGAAGGAAGTTATATCCTAATATTGCCTGTGTTCATCATTTATCAGATAGAGTTCTGCTTAACTTATTCCCCAGGTGTTTTGCAACAATGTGCCTTTTTCAACTAGGAGATCAACAGACATAAAATGGGAAGCTTTATTTCGTCCAAGTGGCTCTTTCTGCTGAAGTTGATCATCAACTTTTAATGACCCCTGTATACCAGGTTTTCTTTCTTTCTTCTTCTTCTTCTTTTTTTTTTTTTAATTTAGGGAGAGAAACATTGATCAGTGGCCTCCTGCACACCCTCTCTTGGGGATCCACCCCCGAAACCTGGGCATGTGTCCCGAAGGAGAATCAAATTGGCAACCTTTCCATGCACAGGACAACATCCAAGCCACTGGGCAACACCAGCCAGGTCTGCATGCCAGATTTAAAAATAATATTTTTTATTGATTTCAGAGAAAGGAAGGGAGAGGGCAAGAGAGTTAGAAACATCAATGATAAGAGAGAATCATTGATCAGCTGCCCCCTGCTCACCTCCAACTAGGGATCAAGCCCACAACCCAGGCATGTGCCTTAGACTGGAATCAAACCTGGCATTATTTAGTCCTCAGGTTTGCTCATGCTCTATCCACTGAGCCAAACCAGTTAGGGCTGTATGCCAGATTTTAACTGGCAAAGAATTTAGGACTTATTGTAGACAATTATGTGCAGATCTATGGTCTCTATCCTATCAGGAGTACTAGTTTTCACTGCTTACTTAGAATAACCCCTCCTAACACTTCACCCCCCTTTCCCCCTAGTCTATTCCCTTCCCTTGTTCCTTAGCTTTGTTTTGTTCTTTGACAGTGAATTGTATAACCTCAGTGCCTCAATTGTAAAATTGGAGAAAAATAGGACTTACCTGATAGGGTTATTATGGGGACTAGATGACTAAACATATTAAGTGCTTAGAACAATGGAGAACAAGGAGTGCCTAATACACAGTAAGTACTCAGTACATTAGAGTTATATTGTTATTACTATGTCAAGAAATTTTCTTCATAGTTTGTGCTTTTTTTTTTTTTTTTTTTTTTTTGTCTTAAGAAATACTTTCCCAATCAAAAGAGAGCTATTGTTAAAGTAAGGTGACAGAGCTTGGTAATTGCTTAGGTTTCTAGTGGGGTGGTGCGGGAGGACTTATCTAACACAACTCTTGTATTTCTGGCTCAATCAACCAGGGCTTCGAGGATATTTGTGAGAAGTATAAGACATGAAACTTCGCACCCGTGGAAAAGCCAGCATCACATCTAAAGCCTTGGGAGGATTTCCTGGGCAAAGAAAACAACTTGTAGTAATATCTAGTCACAGAACAGCGAGGTGTGATTATAAGTGGTTTATTTATTTATATTATAACATTCATCAAGATTAAATTGCATTTTAAAGACCATTCCTGCTGATAGTGTGTAAAAGCATTATTGTTCATATTATTACAAAGGTTCCTCATTCCCTCCCCCTGCTTCCTGGAGATATATTTTTAAAGAAATAGGAAGAAAATAGGTTATTCTAAAGTAGGTTACTTCTGAATGAGTTAAGAGGCCAACTAGTACTAAAAGATACTAGGAAGGTTGTAGATTTGTGAAGAGGGAAAGCAAGACGGGAAAGAACTGAGGAAGTGAAAAAAAGGTGAGAATGGTAGAAGGAAATACTCAGAGGCACATGAAAGAAAAAGACCTTTAAGTGAGAATCAGTGTGCACATTGCAGGAAGGGATGACACTGGAAAAAGGATTGTCCCAAACCCAGCAAGGGAATTGGAGGTGGAAAAAAAGGAAATGAGAGAAAAGGAGAGGCACATAGACAGATGGTGGAGCAGAGTGGTGATTTTTTTTTTATCCTCACCTGAGAATATTTTTTTCATTGATTTCTAGAGAGAATGTAAGGGAGAGAGAGGGGAGAAATGGAGAGAGAGAAACATCAGCATGGGAAGAGGCACATCGATTGATTGCCTGCCACACGCGCCCTTATTTTAACACTGGGAAAGTAGGGCTGGGAACTTGCAACCAGGAGTCCAACCTGCAACACTTGGGTCTGTGGACTGATCTCTAATGACTGAGCCAAACCAGCCAGAGCTAGACTGGTAATTCCCGTGATGCGTGAGAGACCCAGGTGTTCTTGATTTTTCAAAACCAATTGTTATTCCCCCACAGGAGCCCTGGGTACAATTGACAGTGGGGAACAAATTAATTTGTTAGTCAATACCAGAGCTACTTATTTGGTTCTAACTATGAAAATGGCCAAAAGAAGTCAGGTATTTCTCAGTAACAGGAGTTACCAAGCAGATGCAACGAAAGGTCTTTCTCCTAGCTCCCAGTATTTAAATTTTAAGACTTTCTTTTTAACCTAGAAATGGCTTTGAGTTTTTTCAGTGGGTCCCTGGAATATATCAGAATTTGTTCCCTCTCCTTATAAAACAGAAATGTTAAACTAATTAGGTCTATTTAATATACTTGAAGTTCATGGGAAACTGTCAAATCCTATATAATAAAAGCCTAGGTGGCCATCTTGTGACAATGCAAGGGGCTACGAGGGCCCAGGCTGCCATCCCCACCGCTGGCCCGGCCCTCACAGCAATAGCCTCGACTTTGTCCTGAAGGCCATCGGAAGATCATCTAATCTAATTAGCATATTACACTTTTATTGTTATTATAGATCAGCTCCATGACACACCATAAACTTCAAAAAATGGGCACAGGTCTACAAACCCCTCAAAAAGACCTCGTTAACCTGACCTTTAAGGTCTTTAATAATAGAGACAAGGAGACGTGAATCCAAAAACAAAGGCGAGGTCAAGCCAAGGCTGAGGCCCAGAAGGAGGCCTTCCAGCTCCTACCCACCGCTCTCACGAACCCCAAACGAAGTGCTGGCCCTTCAACCGAGGGTAAGTCAGGGGCCAAACCTCCTCCGGGCCCATGCTTGAAATGCAACCAGAAAGGACACTGAGCCAAGTCCTCCTCAAACCCTAGATCCCCGCCTGGGCCTTGCCCAAGGTGCGGAAGGGAAGGCCACGGGGGCCATTTATTCTGCCCTCTCCGAATTCGCTGGGACCCTTGTCCACTCCTCAGCCTCTGTTATGGGGGTTGACAGATTAGTCTCACAGCCATTAGCCACCTCACCTCTGCACTGCATGTTACTAAATACCTTCATTCACTCTTTTCTCATTATCACCCAGACCTCAGCATATTATCTCTAAGGGAAAAGTTGACAGTTTTAAATCCAAGCTGCTGGAGGCTGGGAATAGGCTGCTGGGCCTCCCTGCCACTCCCCTTTTCTTCAGCCCCGTGTGCCTACTCATCATTCTCCAAAGTCTTGGATAACTTGAAGGCTTTGGAGCATTGCTGGGTTAAATGATCAATATTTTAAAATACATAAAATATTGAAACGTTAATTGCTAGGCACATTTTAATTAGCCTGCTCTTAGTTTTTATTGTAGAAGGTCTCTCGTACTTTGTTGAATGTGTATTTTCTTTAAAGCAGGAGTGTGTTTGAAGTGTGTTGCTAAATGTCAATCTAAGAAATGTTGGCTGTTTACTTTTTGATTTTCATTGAAAAATTAAGGTTTCTAAGAGCGAAGAATTCTAATGCATTTTAAAGAAAAAAGAAAGAAAAGGTCTGTACAAGTTGCTAAAGGTGTGACAGAAAGAAAGAATGTTAGAGTAGAAATACTTAATGGAAGGCCTGAGGCATGGTTATGCATGTTTGAAGGACATAGAAGGTTTGAAGGCTAATTTGAAAGGGTGAAATTTGTGAAGGTTACATGTGTGATAAGAAGGAAAAGAGAAATGTTGAAAGAAATAAGTTCTAAAGTGAACTATTTACAAGAATTGTAAAAGGGTCATAAAAGTCCCAAGAAAGTTTAAACAAAGGTCAGACCACTAGTTAACTTATAGCCTGCCTGTAATAAAAAGTCCTTACCTACCACCTGGCAAGACAGAGCAAATAGTTAATACAGAAAGGGAGGGGGAAGGGGGAACAGAAAAAAAAGGGGGGGAGGGAGCGGTGGCAATGGCCATTTTACTCTGAGCAAGAAAACCTGAGGTTTCAGTCTCCAAGCCTGGCAGGACAAGGTTGCTGGATACTTCTTAAGCTAAACCTTAATATTCAGCAGTGGAATTTTAAGATAGGAGCATACATAATGTCTCAGACCAGCCTGCTCTTCAGAGTGGCTGGGGATGGGGAAGGGTGCATTAGTACTTCAAGGGTCAAATGTATGTTTGCTTACTTTGCTTTTTCAGTAAAGGAGCATACTTTAATTACTTGATAAGTTAGCTTTTCAAGGTCTCATATAGACTCATTCATATGAGAAGCCAATATTTTATGAGCTACTGGTTCTAGTAAAGTCTAAAGTAAAATTTGCATGCATACACACACACACACACACACACACACACACACACACACACACACACAAATTAGAGGCCCAGTGCATGAAATTCCTGCACAGGGGGGGGGGGGTGCAGGGTTGTCCCCAGCCCAGCCTGCACCCTCTACAATCTGGGATCCCTCTCACAATCCAGGACTGCTGGCTCCCAACTGCTCACCTGACTGCCTTCCTGATTGCCCCTAACCGCTTCTGCCTGCCAGCCTGATCACCTCCTAACCACTTCCATGCCAGCCTATTGATGTCTAACTGCTCCCCTGCCAGCCCATTTGCCCCCAACTTCCCTCCCCTGCAGGCTTGATTGCCTTCAACTGCCCTTCCTTGCAGGCTTGTTGCCTCCTAACTGCCCTCCCCTACTTGCCTGATCAGCCACAACTGTCCCTCCAACTGCCCTCTCCTGTTGGCCATCTTGTGTCCACATAGGGGCAGGATCTTTGACCACCTGGAGGCAGCCATATTGTGTGTTGGAGTGATGGTCAATCTGCATATTACTCTTTTATTAGATAGGATAGAGGCCTGGTGCACGGGTGGGGGCCAGCTGGTTTGCCCTGAAGGGTGTCCCGGATCAGGATGGGGGTTCCCTTGGGGCATGGGGTGGCCTGGGTGAGGGGCCTGTGGTGGTTTGCAGGCCAGCCATGCCGCCCAGTGACCCAAGCAGAGGTCCTGGTATCGGATATATTTACTTTCTACAATTGAAACTTTGTAGTCTGGAGCAAAGCCAAGCCTCCTGCTTGCTCTGTGGCTGCTGCCATTTCTGTTTGGATTTGTTTACCTTCTGTAATTGAAATTTTGTAGCCTTGAGTGGAGGCTTAGGCTGGCAAGGGCAGGTGGAAAGCTTGGCTTCCTCCATTGCCAGGGAAACGCCTCCCTCCTGCTCTCTGTGGTTGTAGCCATCTTGGTTAGGTTTATTTAATGCTCGCTCTGATTGGGATTGTGGATGTAGCTTGTGGGTGTGGCTTATGGAGCAGAGTGATAGTTAATTTGCATATAATTTATTAGCTGGGTGGAGCACTAGACAAAAAGAATGCTGTTTAAAAGTAAATTTAAGCTTAAAAAGAAGAAATTTAAAAATTTCTTCCACTACTATTTATAGAGTAAGTTAAAAGTTATTTTTCAAACATTAAGCCTCATCATAAATGAGATACTTGAGGATATTTTTCCATTGATTTTTAGAGAGAGTGGAAGAGAGAGGGAAATATAGAGAGAAATATCGATGTGAAAGACACAGATTGATTGGTTGCCTCCTGCTTGACCCTCACCAGGGCCAGGGAGGAGCCTGCAACTGCAGAACGTGCCCATGACCTGAATCAAACCAAGGACCCTTTGGTCCACAGATTGACACTCTGCCCACTGAGCCAAACCAGCGAGGGCACAGCTAGCATTTTTATCTCACACAGCTCTTGAGCCAGCATGTCTCCCCTGACTCCCCAACCCCCCCCCCCCCAAATGCCTTGTTTTGTTTTGTTTTCTGTACTCTGTATAACCTTGTACTGAGAAAGCCTGAGGCACAGAAAACGTTACCAGCTGACCACCACCAGTGTGCTAATAAACCCATGTCTTTCACAGGCAGTCTTTCTCGTTATTCCTTAGGAATCAGCAATCAACACACTGAGGTATTCTCAGACCTCAGCTCTTTGCATAACACTGTCATATCAAACAATATTTAAAGTTAATTTTTAAATTACTGTTTTTAAAGTTAATGTTTAGTAATACTTCTCTTCACATATTTTTTAAAATGTTGACATGCCAACATTTGTAGCCTAGAATTTGCACCTCATCTTCACATGCATGAAAAGTGTATTCTTTAATAGACATTCTTAAGAAGGTTCTGATGATGTCAAAGAATGGATCCTGTCCACTAAAATAAGGTGGATGAGTAGATATCTGTTGAGAAAAAGATGTGAGGCAAGTGGCCCACTGTAATGGAATATTCAGGCACCTGAGGTGAGAGCCTCTATGAATTGTGTAATGCTTCCTTCCCTGGATTGAGAAGCTCAATAGCTCTTGTCAGTTAATAACAGAAGGCTTTCAACTGAAAGTTGTGTGAATTTTGATGGAATTCTAGTTCTGCTAATGTTAGGTCAAAAAAGAGCTACAATATTTCATGGAAATCACTGATTCACTGATTCTGTATGTGTGTCTTTTTTCCCTGCCATTTTACATTCAATTTAAACTTTTTTTATTTGCTTCCAGTTCTTTTAACAGCTGGGGTGACTTTCCCTCTATTTCTTCAGTAAAGCCCACATACCAGTCATCAACCGTGTTGTTGGCCATTGTCTGTACTCAGAGCTCACCAAATGGGCTTCTCGCTCAGAATGAAATTTCGTGCATTCCTGCCACAGAGCTCATATATGAAACACGTATCATGAACCCACACTAACTTCACTATGAAGAATTAAATTGTATGGCTTTGATTTAGCCTTATGATTTTAAAGAAATTCTTCCAGCCAAAACCGGTTTGGCTCAGTGGATAGAGCATCGGCCTGTGGACTGAAGGGTCCCGGGTTCAATTCCAGTCATGGGCATGTACCTTGGTTGCGGGCACATCCCCAGTGGTGGGTGTACAGGAGGCAGCTGGTTGATGTTTCTCTCTTATCAATGTTCCTAGCTTTCTATCGCTCTCTCTTCCTCTCTGTAAAAAATCAATAAAATATATTTAAAGAAAGTAAATTCTTCCAATTTAGGATCCATAATCCCTAACAGACCCTAATCAGACTTTACCCCAGGGGTCTTCTTGTTTCATGAGAGATGAAGGGAGCTGTCTGGAGTTTGATAAAAGTTATGAATCCTCCCTGGAGAAAATTTCCATAGACAAAATATGCATTCAATTTTCAGTTACCCAAGAAGCTTAGTTATCTTATTCATAAACCCATAGTTAAGAATCTATGCCTATCTGGACTGGGTAAATGTATTAAAAATGTCTATAGAAAGAAAGTATCCATTGGAAGGTTAATTGGTTAGATATGCTTATAGAAAAAAAAAAACAAAAAAAAAAACAAAACAAAAAAAAAAACAAGGACACACACTATCTATGCCCATCCTAATAGCATCCATGGAAGAGAAGACTTTGGACAAAAAAAAAAAAAAAAAAAAAAAAAAAAAAAAAAAAAAAATTTCATCAAATGTTCTGGATGAGTAGCTATTTGTTGAGAAAAAGATGCGAGGCAAATGGTCCACTGTAATGAATATTCAGGCACCGGTGTGAGAACCTCTATGAAATGTGTAACACTTCCCTCCCTGGATAGAGAAGCCAAGCCGAATAGCTCTTGTCAAGTAATATGGACTGCTTGGAACTGAAAGTAACGTGAATTCTGATGGAATTCTAGCTCTTACTAAAGTTAGGCCACGAGGGCTGTTCCATGGAAATCATGGATTCACTTATTCTGTTTTTTTTCTTTTTCAATTTTTCTTCTGCCCTTTCACATTCCATAGACACAAAAGAAGCATTCAATTTTCCTGGGCAGGAGAAGTGTCACCCCAACTTAATGTGAAGTCATTAACCTTCCAAACGATCAAATTCCCTTTGTTTTGAAGTCATGCATGCCAGGCAAATTTCTGATTATAATTTGACTCCTTGGGTAACCTACCTATTGGTCAAAAGTGCCCTAACCAGAGAATATAAATACCCAGTCCCCTCTGCAGAAAGAGTTCCAGCTGAATTAATGAACCTAGTTATTCTATGTGTTTTTAATACAGCATTCTCTGTGACATTGATTAATAAGAGTCCACACATAAAAGATGGTTCTATGTTTCTGAACTTTTGTAGCAAGGTGAATACCTCTATAAAAGATTGATCCATGTTTCTAAGCCTGCAAGGCAGAGGCAATATGATAGATTTGTCAATTTTCTAATTTAAATGTCCCAAATGTGTTGTATTAGGACAAAGAGTCAATAACCTTATAAATTTTATTCTGGGCCTAAACGAGAAGAGCCAGATATGGAATTTTTAGTCTCTTCTGCACAGCAAAGGGATTTAGGCTATTTATATACTTTAGGAGTTACAGACACCAGTCGCAGTTATGCAGTTTCCCATGACAACCAATTGTTATGCAATGCTTTGACATTCCAGGTTTCCTACCATAGAAATAATATTAAAATTTTGAAGGCTCAATGTTTGTTAATCCTCACCTGAGGGTATTTTTTTCATTGCTTTTCAGAGAGAGGGGGAGGGAGGAGAAGAGAGAAAGAGAGAGAGAGAAGAGAGAGAGAGAGAGAGAGAGAGAGAGAGAGAGAGAGAGAGAGAGAAAGAGAGAGATGGGAGAGACACATTGATTGGTTGCCTCCTGCACCCACCCCCTACCGGGGATATGAATCTGAGGAGTGAATCTGAAGGCAACATACGTATGTGCCCTTGACCCTTTACTGCGCAGGCTGACACTCTAACCACTGAGCCAGGCCACCAGGATGAAGACCCAGTGTTTTTAAAGAGACTTTCCAGATAACTTTACAAAGCAAGAATATATTGAACAGAGTGGCTACAAATAAAAATCCCAGAGCTATCGTCTAGTCATGAGAGCTATAGTCTTGTGACT